GCAAATCCAGTCGAAGATTGATATCTTCCAAAATACATGTCTCTGTGTATGTGAACTCACACCACGGCTCGCATCTATCTCGCTACTCACGCTGGCCATACGGCCGTCTCATTCAATCTAACGGGACGCATTTAATAATACCCAACGTGGCCCACAGCCTCCATCACCTTCCCTAATCTCACCGAGGTGATCACCGATCCGGTAACCTTGTGGTGACAAGTTCTGAGTCTATGCAAAATTATTGTGATCCGATGCCGATGTCTTCGCATCGTTGACCACCGGCTCTATTCGACTCGAATGGTTCAAGAAGAGAGCCTAGGAGCCATCAAGGCTTCTTTACGCAACCCGTTGACTTCATATCTCTCTTTTCCGAGTGACGATTGGGAACGCATCGCGTTTTGTTGCCAATGATCGAGAATGAGATTATTTCACTATAATCTTACCTGAGACTCGATCAAAAACGCTGAAAACGAGCAGAAAACGGCAGCAGCGTGATGAAAGAGAACGAGGTAGATTTGACACAGTGGGCTATAAGGATGCTGTCCAATACGAGTTGGAGGGGCCGACGTCCTCTAGGCATCTCATTGTACCTCCTACTGTCATCTAATGGTATATCTCTGATTGAACAACTTCCTACTACCCGACAACAACTTCCCCCTCCTGAGCGTCTCCTCTTCTCTCACAACATATGGCCACCAACATAAAGTAACCGCCATAAGAATTCCCAAGTACAGTGATCACTGATAGCGGCATCTCGATCAAGATAACATCGTTACATAGTGCGATATACCCATACGCCACATCTCGACCACTAATCCTGTTGAAGATGGTCTTGAAGACGACATAACAAGGGGGAAAACTACCGCCTATCTCCAATCCTCGTATGACAACAAGACACTTTTACAGTGAAACACAGGCTGGTGAATAGCTTCCAATAGAGGCGTAGTAATATAACAACAAGTCAAGTAACGATCAGTTTCGAGAGTGTTTCTCCACTTCCTTCAGGAGGCAGCTCAATCGGAAGTACTTTTGAGGTTGTACCTATATCGGAGCACTGGTCTACAGCGAAGATTCTTCAGAAATCACCAGGTCCTGTCAGCATCCTTCTTCCTCAGCGTTATGGATACCCGCTTCCCCTTAGACACTCGGTGTTTGCACTGCTCGGGTATTATCTCAGCGTTCAGTGTCGGAATCGACAACATCACACGCCACCCATCCGCAGTGTCCGCCCATCTGACCACTGAATGTAATACTCTTCCGATTACCATAACAATTTCGCTACAGGTCAAATCCAGTAGTTGTGAACTTGCTATGAGCCTCTACGGAATCGTCCTCGAGCGCAGCTAGCAGTTGTGAATCCTCTGTAGAAACACGAGGAAGTGTCCGAAGCAGAATCATACCATAGATTCTCACCAGTATAAACTTTGACCTTCCCCTCATCGTCAAACCAACTGTACTGCTTCACCGTTCTCTACACAATAGCAATGCCAGTTGGTCGATGCTCTCACTAACTACTACCTTCTTAACAACATTCCTAAGTTCGGGAGAAAGAGATCGTCCAATGAGCTCAGGCTGGCCACCCGTGATCAGGCCAGGACCAGTTACCTACCGTCGCATCATCACTGGCAACCAACACTCTAATCCACTTACAACTTTAGCATCGGGCGGAACATAGAAATCTCTAGAGTGCGCATAGTAGTATCTTGACGGTTTTCACGAGTGGTCACCAGACTATGCGTAAACGAGTCGGCTTACGATTTATCTCCCTTTTCAGTCAAGGACTTCCTAAGCTTGCTATCAGACCGTTTTACCGTATCGGTTTCTTCGCCACTTGTACTGCTGCTCCCCACCGGAACAGCTTTATACGGAGGGGCCTCACCCTCACTTCGTGTAGATGACGATGACATTACTCCACTACTGCCTTTTTGATAATATCCCACAAGCGCAGACCACAATCCACTTAGACGAGAGAACAGTGACGATGTAAGCGTGGACAGAGCGGAGCCCACGATGGACAGGGAAATAAGATAATCGAAACTGAGCGTTGATTGTCAAGACTCCCGAAGTTGTCATCAAACACGGAAAAAGAAATAACACTACAGAAACTCGTTTGTTAGACCTATGTTTTAAATACGATACCTTTCCACAGTACTCGAGTACCGTGTAGAATCAGTGAACCGCCGCTGTATAGGAGCCCATTCACTATCGAAAGAATACACAACGAAACGAGGATGATAACACTGCTACCAATCATACTTCAAACGACGATATCCGTCGTCTCCCAACGACACAACAAATACTACTACTACGCGCAAAAATAAAAAACAATGAGCTCTGTTTCTGTCGGTAGCCCATAAACCAATATCAAGATCATCGTAATATGGCAATAGGAATGAAGACTTCCCACAAAGTAGCATTAATTAATCAAGCACTGTTATCACCAAAACAGAGTGATCAAAGGAGGAGGAGGTAAGCCGCAATTCCGATGATATGGAATAGGAAATAGAACAGTCGAGTACAGACACATAGAGGTTAAAGGTCGAGAATAGATGTCGGGATACTTGCATTTAGAGACGAACCTTATTGGTAGCGCTTACTGTTAAGGAGTATTGCCGTTAGTAACTGACCAGTTAGCCGTCCATGTCCACTGAAATATAACTTCACCTACCATTCGAATTCAGGTCATTTCCAGTCGTACCCGGCATAGGAACCGTCCCGGAATATCCTGAGAACGAACCACAAGTTACTGCAAACACTACCAAAATGGGTTCCTCACCAGTAGTTTGCGGAGTGTAAATCTGTGGCGACGCAGAGTTCTGTTGTTGTTGGTGAGCATAGGTAGCAGGAGGTGCCACTGACCTCGACTTTTGCTGTTGGTGTTGTAGTAGATGGTGATAGCCATGAGCTGGAGACATCACTCCAGCAGGCGGAACATATCTATTAATAACTCCTCAACTGACGAGCAAAGCACCACCAAGTCTTACCCGTTATTTTGCTGCTGGACAACCGGACTGTTGTTGGTATAAGCATTGCTGCTAGTCGCGCCATTTCCATTGCCTGGGTTGAGCCCACTACTAGACCCATACCTACAACATCCAAGCCGTTAACAAACACCCCTCCTACTACTTCCTCTAGTACCCAATAAGAGGCGATTGATGGTGATGACGAGGATGGCCACCAGTAAGACTAGAAGTCTGCTGTACACCGTAACCATTACCATACTGCTGCGGTGGCTGCGGACTCGCCACATAATGCTGTGGTGGGGGAGGCGCCATACCCCACCCTCCTGAGCCCAAATGCAACATGGTCGGCCCGAAAGACCACGACCGAGACCCACCTCGGCCTGCCATGTGATATCGCGCAACACCACCTTGCATGAACTTACTAGGGCCAGTTCCCTCTCGAGTGGAAGGTTTTACTTCCACCTAACCAAAATTGACCAACGAGCAGTCCAGAAGATCGACTCACCCATTTGCCATCAATGGTATTCCCCTGCCCATCACCCCCACCCTGGATAGCAGCCTGGGCTTCAGCGGGCGTCTGGAAAGTCACATATCCAAAACCACGAGAGCGACCACTGGTGCGATCAATTCTGAGAGCAACAATACACAGCGAAACGATGCAGCGAATATCTCGTTACTTCACGATGCAATCAGTGACGACTCCATACCTCACAAAGTGCTGTCGTAGCCTCTCTGAAAATCAACAAATTCCAATAGAACAACTCCACACTTCTTTCACCTCTATCCACAGTTGCAGGTAGGCCACCACAGAAGACCTTACAAGGGTTATCCTGTGGCAACACCCCGTTGCCGTTAGTTCCAGTAGGGTCGAAGCTCCCCATAGGCGCTTGCCCACCGGCCATCATGTGCTGCATAACGCCCATTGTCGGATTACCACCCAGGGTCATCGGCTGCCTTAAAGCCGCCTGAGCCCTGATTTCCTCTTGAGAAACGGCTCGTTTAACATCGACTGTTTTCTCCAGTAACACATGGGAGTTCGGATACGATAAACACGACTAAAGACACTAGGGATGTCGCTTCGGAGATTCTACCACGCCACTTACTTCCAAGTCTTTGACATTGACAAACGTGATAAAACCAAAACCACGACTGCGGCCTGT